TAGTGGTAGAGTTAATTTTGTGATCGGTAGATTTTTTAATGGTTCACGCAATGGTAGACTTATTTAGAGTGGTGGTAGATTTATAAAATATGGTAGATTTATTTGTAGTTGTGGTAGATTTATAATATGTGGTAGACTTATTTATAGTAGTGGTAGAGTTATTCAAAAAGGGTAAAATCGTTTACGGGTCATCTTCTCCATACAACCAAGTTTCTGTCAAACCCTAACAATGGCGGCCAAGTACTTTTTAGCTCGTTTTTACTGTATTTTAACTTGTTTTCAACTGGATTTAGTCTAAAAATAGTAGATCTAACATCATATATCTATTTTCTAACCAAAAATCTAAAGATTTCAAGTTTTTTTTTTGCTTATGATTTTCAATTCGATTTTATCTAAATCCGGTAGTACACCTCCGTCGAGCGCGTCTCCGGTGCTTCCGCAGCCTCCGCAACCGCGATGTCATACAAATTTCTGATTTTTTTTTAAATTAGAATAATATTTTCGTAATAAAAACTTCTTACTAAAGTTTATATATTTTTTTATGACCTTTGTTCAGTATTAAGTTTGTTTAAAAGTTGTTTTAGTAATTAGGTAACTTTTCAAAATTATTTTAGTAATTAACCCTTTGATTTATGAAAGGAAAAAGTTAGACTTCATAAATCACAATTACAAATTTAGAGAGGATATGAGGAAAAGCCAAGTTATTTACCATGATCGGGAAATAAGATAAAATTTCATAGTTGAATTAGAGACTAATGAGAATTGTCTTTAGTATCTACAAGCTCATTTCAATTATTCGTCGTGGATTTTAGATGCTATACAGCTGCATTTGTAGCTTTCTAGAAACATTACAAAGGAAAGAGGAGTGGGATGTAGGGAAGAAGACAAAAATAAAGGAAGTATAAAATCACAAGTATTTTCCATTGAAACCAACTTCCAATTGGTAAGTGTTTGAACTTTGACAAAAATGATTAGGAAAGTGCATAAATTCTAATATTAGAAGTCAACAAATCTATAACATAGGGAAGCGAAACGGGTAAAAGTAGAGACATGCACTCTTAATAAAGTGAATGTTGAATTAAAGCAAAAACCTTATTGTTCTTTGACCTCTTCAAATCTTTTTGTTACCTTGTGAATAATTTTCAGAGAAGTTGATGTGCGGGTCTTTGATATATTGGATGATTGCAAAGTTTATTAGAATAGAGTTCGAAAGGACATGTATCGTCGTTCTGTTACTGCATATTATAACCTTAAAACTGAGTGCATAAGAGAAAAGATAGAAGAGCTTGTAGAAAATGTAGCTCATTAAGATTAGCATAGCATATGAAAATTTTAAAATAAATCACCCAAAAGAAGAAAAATAAAACATGTTGAGAAACGTCTAACAAACTCATTCATCAAAGCTAAAAAGATGTAAAAGAAATCAAACTAATCATCAGAAAACTACAAAATCTTAAGCTGAGTTCGATATGTAAAATGCAAAATTAAGAAAAAAATTAAAGACAGTTTCACAAAATTGGTTCTTATGTTGATCAAAGAGACATTTTTTTATAAACGAAACACGATGCATAATACATGAAAAAAACTCACAGAATTGTATATACATGAAAATGTTGTGTAATATTATACAAATTATACTAAGATTTATATATGTAATGGAGGTATATATGTTCATATTGATGTGTCTTCTTAATCTCTCTATCACTCTCTTCTTCTTCATATATATATAGGGAAGAAAGAGTACATGAACAAAGACACTTGTACATGGAGATAGATTAGTGTCACATTAGGAACACTTGTACATGGCTAAAACATCATTAGTGGCACTTATGTGTCAAGTTGTCTATGTGATAATGAGGAATAATCACCAAAATATAACACTTCCCCTGTGGATGGTAGAACCTGCACAGTCAATATTTGTCAAGAGTTTCAAGAGGATTGAGTCTTCCGAGTACGAAATCACACACAAAGGATTGAGGAGGATTCTTATTACTATTTCTATCAAAGCTTAAGAATAAAAGAGTTTCGGTGTAAAGAATTGCGGATCCCTTTTTCAAAGGAAATACAGTGAGATATATAGTACTTGATCGGCTAGGTCAACCCTAAAGTCGGCTACACCAAATGGGCTTAGC